ATTTTTCTCTCTTAGGCAGAGCCATATGTCATTCCAGGTGGAAATACAACAGAGTGCAGTAAGGCAAGGATTGCGGAGGGACCCTGTTGTGCTTGGCTGTTGGAAAGCATATGGTGCAATAATGTTCCAGCTCTGACTGTGAATTTTCCTTCTCTTGTATTCTCTGGCAAATATGATTATTCTAATTTATATCCAACCGTTCTGTTTATGCCTAGGAGTAGAGTGCTCCTCCGACTTCAAAACTACCTATTAAATCAGGTCCTGCTTCAGGGAGAACCTCAGAAATAATCTTAGAATCATAGAATGGTTTGGATTGGAAGGGATTTTTTAAAGATCACACAGTTCCAACCCACCCCCCCCGCCATAGGCAGGGACACCTCCCACCAGACCAGGTTGCTCAAAGCCCCCTCCAACCTGGCCTTGAGAACAGAGAAGAGGTATGAAAAATTTCCTCACTAATTGTCTGAACCACCTTTATAATGTGGAAGAGGTTATGGAGGCTTTGATTTTAAGGCCTTAGCAGAGACTTCAGGATGCTGAAATTCCAGGAGAAGGAATCTCTCCCCGTCTTAAGCAGTAGCTGCTCCAAAAAAACCCAGTGCTGGTCCTCAGCCAATTTTTGTGCCCCTGCAGTAACTCTGAGCTACAGTTGGCTTGATCTCAGGACATCCTTCCCAGCCTTTGGAAGTGACTGCATGGCAAGTATTGCATTTCAGAGTTTATTATTTATTGTTTAAGTTTCTCAGTGCACTCTTCAGGGCATGAAGCGGCAGAAGTGTTAGCAAAACCCGAGTTCCTGTCATCCTGCTCTCCTGTGCTTGGCCAGGCATGGCCAGGACTACACAGAGAGCTTCACATCTCCAGGGCCCTCATTTGTGTGGAATCCAGCGAAATGCTGCAGATAGGTGTGTAATCAGAGATTATAGCAAAAAGGAGTAGTTAAGTTATATTTGTCTCCGTGTCGTCTTTCAGAGTCAGGTCAGCGTACGATACAGTGAGGCTGGATATGAGTGAGGCTGTTGCTTGTGGCTTCTGAGGGAAAAGGCATAAATCTTGGGCACTTGGCAGTTTTGAAATAAGAAGCCCACACGGGGAAGTTTGTCTGTGACCATGAGAGGTTTGATGGCTGGTTTCTGTTCTGAAGCTGGAGGGGTTTTTATGGCCTCCTAAAACATGTCATTATTATCTCTAATGTAACTGTGAGTCCCTGCATTGTACAATCCTTTTTAAAAATCCTATTAGGCTTTTGACAACTGTGATGTCTGTCTGAGTATAGTCCCTCAGAGAAAAACTAACCCCTTACACAGTCCCCTGCACTCATACCACCGAGGGTACAGGCTTTCTGTGTCACGGTGTCCCAGTGGTTAGCAACCTGAAGCCATGTTAGCCAGCAGAAAGGAAGCTGTGGCCACGTATTTGGGCAAGGCTGTGGACACTGATGAGGCCTCACCTTGAGTACTGTGTTCAGTTCTGGGCCCCTCACTACAAGAAGGACATTGAAGTGCTGGAGTGTGTCCAGAGGAGAGCCACCAAGCTGGTGAGGGGCCTGGAGAACAAGTCATACGAGGAGAGGCTGAGGGAGCTGGGCATGTTTACTTTGGAGAAGAGGAGGCTGAGGGGAGACCTCATTGCCCTCTACAACTACCTGAAAGGAGGGTGTAGAGAGGTGGGTGTTGGCCTCTTCTCCCAAGGGAATAATGACAGGATCAGAGGAAATGGTCTGAAGTTGGGGCAGGGGAGGTTTAGATTAGATATTAGAAAGAATGACTTTCATGAGAGGGTGATCAGGCACTGGAACAGCCTGCCCAGGGAGGTGGTGGAGTCCCCATCCCTGGAGGTATTGAAGAAACATGTAGACGTGGCACTTCAGGGCACGCTCTAGTGCCTGAGATTGTTGGTTTGTGTCTTTGTGGTTTATTTTTTGGTTGGTTGGTTGGTTTTGGGGCGTTTTTTTTTGTTTGTTTGTTTGTTTGTTTGTTTTGTTTCTGTTTTTTTTTTTGTGGTTGGACTTGATGATCTCAAAGGTCACTTCCAACAGTAAAGATTCTGTGATTCTGTGATTCTGTCTGCCAGCTTTGCAGCATGGCTGCAGCATGGTCCAGCTGTAAGTTTCAGGCCTGAAACACCGAGTTGCTCACTGCCTTCCTAAAAGAAGCTGTGCCTCTCTCTTCCTCTTGCCTTGCTTTGCCTCATCTCCTTCTTGTCCCCAGAAGCTGAAAACTCAGAGTAAAGCCACCTGCCTCAAACTCACGTGCCGAGGATGCCAAACAAATGTTGCAGGTTCCATTATAAAGCGGAGTCTGATTTGTGCTTCCAGGCAGCGACTGGTGAGCGTCACCCAGTGTGACATGGCGGTGGCATGCAGAGCATTCGTCAGGTTGTTTATCATGCCCTGCTGCCATTGTTGCCACTGTTGACACCTGCACACGCTGATTGAAAGAACTGGACATCATCAATAGCAAGATAGCACTAATAGCACTCTCCATCTGCTGAGTTTTAAATTCTATTGTGTTTTATATTTCAGTGCCGAGGATGCCAAACAAATGTTGCAGGTTCCATTATAAAGCGGAGTCTGATTTGTGCTTCCAGGCAGCGACTGGTGAGCGTCACCCAGTGTGACATGGCGGTGGCATGCAGAGCATTCGTCAGGTTGTTTATCATGCCCTGCTGCCATTGTTGCCACTGTTGACACCTGCACACGCTGATTGAAAGAACTGGACATCATCAATAGCAAGATAGCACTAATAGCACTCTCCATCTGCTGAGTTTTAAATTCTATTGTGTTTTATATTTCATTTTTCTTTTTCTCTGTGGTCAGGGTATACTGCTTCACAGCCAGAGGAAAAGCAGGTAGCAAGGTCTTCTGATGGTAACAGGGGACACTGCTATGTTGATAACAATATCCCTTGGAAGCAGTAGGACCTAAACTTGTCCCTGCTCTTAAGCACCGGATTATTTCAGCAGCCTCTGCATGCACCTTGATGGCATTTTTAACCTTAGAATCATAGAATTGCCTAGGTTGGAAGGGACCTTTAAGATCATCTAGTCCAACCATCAACCTAACTTTAATAAAAACCATCACTAACCCATGTCTCTAAGCGCTGTGTCAACCCAGCTTTTAAATACCTCCAGGGATGGTGCCTCAACCACTGCCCTGGGCAGCCCATTCCAAGACTTAATAATGTCTTTTAATCTGCGGTGATTCTTTCAGGGGTATCTCTCTGTGAATAATCACTTAGTCTGAACATGTAATTTCTCCTTGATCTCAAGATCTGGTAAAACAGTGTTTTCCCTTTCTTTTTTACTGCCTTTTCTGTGGGTGAAAACAAAATTCCGCAAAATTTGAAAATATCACCATAAAGAGATTGTAAACCTTTTTGTCAGTCTTCTGCTGGTCCACTGTTACCTGGTGGTGGTAGTAAATAAAGGATGAAATCGTATTTCTGTAAGTGTAAACACAGTAAGGAGTAAAACCAGTACCTAAAAAGGGGCCTACAGGAGAGCTGGGGAGGGACTCTGGATCAGGGAGGGGAGCCATAGGACGAGGGGGAAGGGTTTGACACTGAAAGAGGGGAGATGGAGATGAGATGTGGGGAAGAACTTGTTTGGTGTGAGGGTGGTGAGAGCCTGGCCCAGGTTGCCCAGAGAAGCTGTGGCTGCCCCATCCCTGGAGGGGTTCAAGGCCAGGTTGGAGGGGGCTTGGAGCAACCTGGTGTGGTGGGAGGTGTCCCTGCCCAGGGCAGGGGGTTGGAACTGGATGGTCTTTAAGGTCCCTTCCAACCAAAACCATTGTGAGATTCTATGAAAGCACTTTCTAAGCAGGAATGTCAAGTAAACTAAGTCCTATGAAAGTATTTCTAAGCAGGAATGTCAAGTAAACTAAGTTACGACAGAATTACAAAGATCGCAAATTTTACCAGAAACAGAGAAGTCCTCTAACTTCTTGCCCATTACCTTATCTATGTGAGTGTATCCAGCCACGCTCGCACATTTTCTCCAGCTTTAAAACTTCAAACCCGATTTGAGGTGTAAAGCGTGACGGAGAGTCGATGAGGCAGGGACATCGCTCCAGATGTCACCAGCGATCCGTTGTTATTGTTCACTCTTACTGGAGATGCACCTGGAGGCTTCTGGCGGGAGCAGAAAGCTGCTTTGTGCTGTGTGTTCAACAAACAGGAGCAGGCAGTCCCGGCCTCACTTAGCTATTGATCTAATAGCCCAGATTCTGCAAATTCCAGCCTATTTTTACTTTGTTACCACTGTATTTATGTGACCCAAACAGGTCAGTATTTGCATCAAGTTACTCATGAGACCGTTTTCAGGATTAACCTGTAGATTCAGTGTTTATCTCAAAATTATACAGGAAAAAAGTCTTCTTCCCCCCCCCCCCCCCCCTTTTTTTTTTTTGTTTTTCAAGAACCATACCTATAAAAAGTTGCGTGGACTTAGAATTTTATATATAGAATCTTGTTCGTATTTTAAGAGAAATAAACTTCTTCAAAGGCAGTCTAAATGCTTCTTTTAGGTACAAACCCAAAGCCTGGTAGCAGAAATGATCCTTAGAGAAGTTTTATTGACTCCGGGGGGATTTCAGTGCCGCTGGAGAAACTGAAAAAGCTGTTTCCAGCAAAGGCAAGGATTTAGCTCAAGAAAAAGGCTTCCCCCAACACAAACAGCTGCTTTTTTTTTTTTTGTCACGTAAGAGGGAAAAGCTGCAAAAGAAACAGGACTTAAAGGAGGGAGGGAATAGAACTGCCACTTCCCTGTGCAAACATCCCTTATGAAGTCTGGAGCATAGAAGGGCTTCCCAGCTCGTGATGCAAGAGCTGAGGCAGGGGGTGGGTTTGGTGGGCTGGGCTGAAATTTGTCATCTGGAGGAAATTGAAACCCAGCATTGGTGGAAGCCGCCTGTGATGCAGAGGTGAAGGCTGGATCTGGCTGGACGTTTCGGGGAGGTGAAAGAAGGGGGGACAGCCCGCGATTCAAAGAGCCACAGGAGTCTGTAAGTGGCAGTGGAGGAGAAGCAGAGAGAAAGGGGCAGTCTGGCATAATAGAAGGGCAGCCGCAGCACGTGTGGAAGGTAAATAAGTAAATCAGGGTAAAATAAGGGGCAGTTTGATTGGAAAACGTCTGGTTGCTGCCGTTCTCCTGGGCTGGCTGGGTTTCTTGCGGCTGGGATATGCTGTGCTCTCTACAGCACATTCCCGATACATTCCTGCAAACCTTTACAGGAAATCTAGCTCCAGAGCCATCTGCGTTAATCTGAAAGCCTTGTTAAAAATTGTGAATCAGCTCCAAACACAAAATAACTGGTTTTTAAACCGTAATTTTTATTTCTTTTTTTAAAAGTAAAATTCATGTGTATGGAAGAGAACGAGAGTCCAGGGACAGGCATGGCACATCTGTAAGATGCATGCATGTTATGGGAGGGGGGATTGCAAGCTATAGATCACTTACAATTAGCTGCCGAACTTCACGTGTGTTTTAGATTGTTTCCCTTAGGTGTGTTAGCAAGCTGTTCACACCTGCACTGAACATAATTGCAAAAAAAAAATAAATCTTGGAGTATTTAACTCTGATAATAGTTTCATATGGTAAGAGAATGGCGTGGAATTAGAGAAGGAGGAAATAAAGAGGGATCGTAATGGAAACTGACTGTGTGATGAAGTGTAAACAAATCAGAAGTCCAATTAAGTCCTATTAAATCTGACTCAGATATGATTTGCCTCAACTTGACTTCTCTGGGGTTGCAGCGTGTTTTTTCCTGTGCTGCCCAAATAGTAGCTGAGCATTGTGCAGATGCTGCCAAATTAATGAAACAAATATTAATTCGAGCACAAGAATGAGCTTTAGGGATGAGTGGTTCGCTGAGGCTGCGGGACGTATGGGACCCCATTAAACTAAATCGCAGAGGAAATCATCCAGTGTGGGGAGGGGAATGGGAGAAGAAAGGAACCTGTATCTTAGCCCTTCAAATGTGACCTTGGCTCTGCCCTTGAAGAAAGAGATTTAAGATCTTATTTCTTGTTTCCAAGTAAATATCTTATCTAGGATCTAGTAGCCACTATCCACCAATATGTTGAGAGATTGCGATAATGAATCTTTCCACCACATTCCAGGGGAGGCTGCTAGCAGCACTGCACCTCTCTGCCATTACACGCTCTAATTACATGCAAGGTTTTTAAAAGTGCTGAAACATCATGGAAAAGAGAAAAAAAAGCCAAGAATTCAAAAAATGCTGGGCCAGGACTTACGAGATAAATTCCAATAGAGAAAATGCAGCTCGTTTCATGGTCAAAAAAAAAAAAGAATACTTAGCTCTTCCTGCAGGAATGCAGAAACCACAAATGCAAATATTTGCAGTACAGAGGGATGATGCACCCCCCGTGAATTTACTGCAGCTTTTCTTTGAAGAACTAAATGACTCCCCAGCCACCCGGTGGTGCACCCTGTCTCTGGGCAGGAGGCCAGGATACTTGAGTACATAACCACTTCTCAGAAGACTTTTTTACTTATATATCAGAATGAGGTATTTGATGGAGTAATTAGGTGTAATATTTTGCATTAACAGTAACCAAAGAACTTGATTCTTGCTCAAAAGTGATCCAAATTTTGTAATGGACAGGGCCAAAATAAGCTTGTTTTAGGATCAATGTACAGAAGCACCTAAACCTGTCTCTAGAATAACTCTGAGATTTCTAAAGCATGTGAGTGAGTATGTGAATGCATCGTGGTTTTGAAAGACTGCAACTATTTTTCACTAAGGTATTTAAAGACTACAAGTATTTTTGACCACCGGTGTTGGTTTCCTCCAGATCTAAATCTCTGCTTTTGCACAGTGATTTTATTCTTGGCTGTTATTCTATTTACTGTGATATTGACTTATTTTTAGAAGTCCTCTTCATATTTCAGGCAGAAATGCGTATTTCCAAAGTATTGCAAAACAGCAGTGTTTTCCTGTCAGGGAAAGTGAAAAAATGGGAATAGTCAGTATTTGCATTTATATAGTGTCTCCTCTCTAAGGGTATTGAAGCACTTGCAAGATGCTCAAGATCCAGGGAATTTTCAGTAAAATAGTTGTGTGATATTTGCCAGTCTATCACCGATTACACTGAATGTGATGAAGGAGATGCAGCCAGGAATCTCTGACCCCCTGGATTTACATGGGAAAGGAAACCTGGAGGAATGGAAAACAGTCTATCTCATTAAACAGTTGAGCTGCGCATTTTCTGACCCATAGACATGGTATATTCTGGATAATACCTGGGGAGGCACGCATGAGGGAAGGGACAACCTTAAGTTGTTGCAAAGTTGACAGCTTTTAGAGCTCAAGTCTAACTGTCTGGAGCTTTGGCAATTTGATCAGTACAGCTTTGGTACCATCAACAGTATTGGTACAGGATTTAATTAGAATAACCCCCTTTTTATTGAATTCTGGGAATGTAAGTTTGCTAATTTTACCTCTAGCTCCTTTTCAGACCAGTTTTTACTTGGAAAGTGTTTTTTAAATTGGAATACAGGAGGCTTTATTAGGTCGCTAAAAGTGACAGGGTAGAGATGTAATCAACAGTTCATCACTGGGAAAGAGGGTGCCAGAGGAGGTGTTGCAGGTCAGGTTAATTGATTTAATGGTAGTCAGAGTCACAGACCAAGAAAATTACTTTTTCTTGCATTTGCTCACCATCATCAGTTATAACCCATTTATCAATTTTCCAACAACTCCCCAAAGAATTAGGATGTATTTGTCTTACAAAGCCCTCAAGAGCGTGACTCTTACTGTTTGAGTATTAAGATGTGAAAAAGATTGTTGTAAAATATTTAAATTTATTGCTTTTAACTGTCATCACAGTCTCTGTTAGGAAAATTATCTTTAATTGGTACAAGAAAAATAGCTTACTAAAGATCTCACTGGGTCTCTCTGGGTCTTACCAGCAAGGATGTGGACCCACCGAGGAGCTTTTAGCTCTCTTCTATCGAGAAAGAGAAATGCAACCTCTGAAGTGAGATCTCACCCAACTGTCTTTGCCCTTTAATGCTGAGCTAGAAGAGCACCTTTCTGTCTGATAAGTTTAAACACTGACAGTATTTCTGCGCTTTTAGCAGAACCTTTGTGGTTTTAGCAAAATGCCTCTTTTTGGACATTAACACAGGGCAAATCAGCAGTTCTGATTTGTGAACTCAGTTACATCTATCCTGACTCGAGATCTGAGAAGGAAATGGCTCTGTGGTGGTGTGCTCTCCCTGGTTTGCCCCCCCCCTCCCCCTGGCTCCTGCCCGGCCTTGGCCACCACGGCCATCACAACAGCAGCTGTGATAACTTGCACCCGGTCTCTGGGGGATGGCTGGCAGCATAGTCAAAATACTGTCTGGAGAGGGGACTTAGAAATTTTGTTGCCATGAAAATATGACTATAGGTCAATTATCTTACTGTATAAATAGTGGACAGCCCAAGAGCCTCTTTGAGCTCTCCTGTATGGCAGCGGGCTGCACGCCAGGATCTCCCCTTTCGTGAGGATGCTCACTGAAGGTTCTACTCCTCGAGGTTGAGAGATTTCTTGCCGCAACAAATTTCCAGTTCTACTCCTCGAGGCTGAGGGAATCCTTGCCGCAACAGAGTTTCGGTAAGTGACTAATAGCATGCTAAACTTTGAAGTTTTATCTAAGTAATGTAAAGGGTTAATTGTGCATATATAATCCTTTAGACATAAACCGTTGACCAAGTCTGGGATTAGGATTGGATCCAGCCGCACCTAGACTCCTCTCTGAGAAGGAGTTTAGAAAGCAAGGGGGTCCTTTCTGAACCTCGTGACTCAACGGAAGGGTCTCCCTGACAGTTCTGTCTGACCCTGTCCTCTGTGCAGTAAATAATAGAGTGTACCCTGACATCGAATCTTGTAAACACTATCGCATTTACCACTGGTTTTATCACACTACTGGTTTTGTTAAATCACTGTTTCACCTTAATAAATATTTCTCTGCTTCACTCTAACTAGTGAAGTTAATCACTCCGTCC